CCATCAAATAATCTGTATATACAGATGTGAATTTTGTCATTAGGGCATGCAATTACTAAGAAGAAAAATATGGGACCATATACAGCCTGCGATATTTAAATAGTTTCGATTTTCTCGGCGTTCGTGTTTTTTTTTGTTTGTTTTTTTTTCAGCTTTCACTGTTTATGTATAAAAATAATCCTGACCTACCTACCCTCTTGAACATAATTTATATTTTTTGTCCTGTGCTTCTACATGGTTGCATAATATGATGTACATAGGGTCATCTTTCACCAGAAGAGATAGAAAGTTACAATGTGACGATCCCAACCAAATTAATAACCTTATCCATGTTTGTAATTCTGTATTAAATATTCTGCAGCAATGGGTAACTTCCCTCCACAGATGGCTTCTAACAAACAACAACAGGTAGGCATGAGCTTAATGTTGGCTGTATATGCACATATAGTTTTGATAAACCCTAGTCAAAATATTGTCCTTAATTATATATATAAGGACTGAATATTTCAAGAAATGAAGTTGGTTATTTTGTTGTTTTTTTAGGTCACCTGTCACAAAGTGACATGGTGAGCTTTTGTGATGGCTTTTCGTCCGGCATCCATCCGTCCATAAACTTTTCTTTAAAAGACATCTCATAAACGGCTAAGCCAATTTCATCCAAAATTCACAGGAAGGTTTCTTTGGTAGTGAACTTTAAAAATTGTTCAAAGAATTTAATTCCATGCAGAACTCTGGTTGCCATGGCAACCGAGAGAAAGAACTTAAAAAATCTTCTTTAAAAAAGCGAAAGAGCTAGAGCTTAAATATTTGGCATAAAACCTCATCTTGTCAGAGTCTACCAAGTTTGTTCAAATAATAGCCCAGGGGTCAAAATTGGCCCCGCCCCAGGGGTCATTGATTTCCTTATTTGTATATAGTAAAAACTTAAAAAATCTTCTGTTAAAAAATTCAAATAGCTATAGCTTAGATTTTTGGCATGAAACATCTTTTGGTGGGTGTCTGCCAAGTTTGTTCAAATAAAAGCCCTTTTTTTTAAAAACCCCAAATAGCTAGAGCTTAGATAATAAGCATGAAACATCTTCTGGTGGGTGTCTACCAAGTTTGTTCAAATAAAAGCCCTACAGTCAAAATTGGCCCCGCCCCAGGGGTCATTGTTTCCCCTATATGTATATAATGAAAACTTAAAAAATCCTCTTTTAAAAAACCTAAATAGCTAGACATTAGATATTAAGCATGAAACATCTTCTTGTGGGTGTCTACCAAGTTTGTTCAAATAAAAGCCCTAGGGTCAAAATTGGCCCGGCCTGGGAGGGTGGATTATTGTTTTTCCCTATATGTGTATAGTAAAAACTTAAAAAATCTTTTAAAATCCTCAAAGCGCTGGAGCTTAGATATTTATCATGAAAAATCTTCTTATTGGTGTCTACCAAAATTGTTCAAATAAAAGCCCATGGGTTAAAATGGGCCATACCCCAGGGGCCTATATATAGGTGAGCGTTTTCAGGGCCATCATGGCCCTCTTGTTGTCAGAGTTTTGGCCCTTTAATAATTTTTATTTTTAAAGTTTGTCCGGACTACTTCTCTTATACCACTGATGCAATTTCAGTGAAACTTTACAGGATTGATCTGTAGCTCAAGTCCTTGCGCATATTGCACGGGTTTTCCGGTTGAATGATTTTTGGCTGAGTTATGGCCCTTTGATAAAAAAGGTGTTTTTTTCTGTGTGTTGCCAGATACACAAAAGCTTGTCCGGACTACTCCTCATAAACTACTGGTGCAATTTCATCCAAACTTTACAGGAATGATCAGTACCAAGTCTTGTTGTGCATGTTGTCAGAATTTTCCGGTTCAATGATTTTTGTAAGAGTTATGGCCCTTTAATAATTTTTATTTTTAAAGTTTGTCCGGACTACTTCTCTTATACCACTAATGCAATTTCAATGAAACTTTACAGGATTGATCTGTAGCTCAAGTCCTTGCGCATATTGCACGGGTTTTCCGGTTGAATGATTTGTGGCTGAGTTATGGCCCTTTGATAAAAAGGTGTTTTTTTTCTGTGTGTTGCCAGATACACAAAAGCTTGTCCCCACTATTTCTCATAAACTACTGGTGCAATTTCATCCAAACTTTACAGGAATGATCAGTACCAAATCTAGTTGTGCACTGTCCGTCTGTCTGTCACAAAACTTGTCCCAACATGAAATTGGCCATTATGAGGCGACACATGTGATCACTGATCGCTCTTGTTAATCTATATAAATGACATCGCAGATAATAATCAAATATACCTTTATTCGCTGATGATAAATGTGTGATAGGCCAATAAGTAATCATGACAACTTAGCTCTGAAAAAATGTGAAAAAATGCGTAATTATGCAATTTTCATCTTCTCCACATAAAAAGAAGTATGTCTACAAAATGAAAGGCTAAAGCTTGGAAATAGTCAAACGGCATTCGTATAGATTTAGGAGTTGAATTCAGTGATAATTTGAAATTCAACGACCATATTTAAACATCACAAACATTTTTCCCTCAATCATCATCAAACTTTGTCAGGAAGTTTGTCTAGGTAATTGCTCGAATGAGTTAGAACATGGGTCATCTTGGAGGAGCTAAAAATAGATAAATCTTTTTAACACTGTAGTTTCTACTGTTTTGATCCAAATATCATGGAAATTGGTCTGAAAGTACGTTTTTATGATTTCTAGCTCAAGATTGAATATGGGTCACCTGGGGTCAAAAATAAGGTCCCACTGCCAAAATATGGAAAAACCATGTTAACACTAGTGGTCACATTTTGACTCAATTGTCACCAAACTTGGTCAGGATGCTTGTCTAGTTAAATGCTCTAATAAGTTCCAACAATGGTCATCTTGGATGAAAAACTAAGTCACAGAAGCTAAAAAAGAAATATCTTGTTAACACTCTAGTGGCTACTGCTTTAATCCAAATATCCTGGATATTGGTCTGCAAGTATGTGTCAATGATTTTTAGGTCAAGATTGAATATGGGTTACCTGGGGTCAACACTAGGTCACACTTAACCCAAATATGAAAAAAACCTTGTTAACGCTCTTATGGTCACATTTTTGAATCAGTTGTCATCAAACATGGTCAGGATGCTTGTCTAAGTAATTGCTCAGATGAGATGGGTCAGGTGAGCAATCTAGAACCATCTTGGCCCTCTTTTTGTTTCTCCCATCTACCCATGGATGCCCTGTTTGTTCTTAGCTCACCTGAGCTAGCTCAGCGTGAGCTTTTAGGATTGTTGAATGTATGTAGTCTGTCGTCCGTCCACACTTGTTCGTTAACACTCTAGCTGTCACATTTTTGCCTCAATCATCATCAAACTTTATCAGGATGCTATATAGGTAATAGCTCGGATGAGTTCGAACATGGGTAATCTCGGATGATAAACTAGGTCACAGGAGCTAAAAATAGAAAAACCTTGTTAACACTCTAGCAGTCACATTTTTGCCTCAATTGTCATGAAACTTTGTCAGGATGCTTGTCTTGGTAAAAGCTCGGATGGGTTCGAACATGGGTCATCTCAGATGAAAAACTAGGTCACAGGAGCTAAAAATAGAGAAACCTTGTTAACACTCTAGTAGTCACATTTGACTCAATCATCATCAAACTTGGTCAGGATGCTTGTCTAGGTAATTGCTTGGATGAGTTCGAACATGTGTCATCTCGGATGAAAAACAAGGTCACAGGAGCTAAAAATACCTTGTTAATACTCTAGTGGTCACATTTTTGACTCAATTAATACACTTAATGCTAATTATCTTAGATGATCTGTAGCATTGCCGGTTTTCCTTATATCCTTTAGACACCTTGTCAAATACTCAAGGTGAGCTTTTTTCATCACAATTTGTCCATCCTCTGAGTCAGTAAATGGATTGTCAACTTTTTTTTACAAACAACTTCTTATCAGAAACCATGGGACAAATTTAATGAAATTTACCTGAGTTGTTCCTAGCATGAAGCTCTACTAAAATTGTTCAAATGGTTCTGCTCCATTGGACATGTGGGACAAAAGGCCTTAGAAATAATTTTTTGAAATGAAATCTTTAAAACTCTTTTTTTGAAAGTGCAAGGACACCGCGCTAAGATATTTTGTGTATAGCATCATCTAATGAAACTACAAAAATTATTCAAATTATAGCCCTGGGGTCATTGATTTTCCTTATAAGTATATAGTAAAAACTTAAAAAATCATCTTTTTTGAATTGTCAGAGGTTAGACATGAAACAGTGTGTAGTAGACTTCTACCAACATTGTTCAAATTACATTCCTGGGGTCAAAATTGGCCCCAATCTGGGGGGTCATTGATTTTCACTATAAACATAGTGAAAACTTAAAAATTCTTCTTTTCAGAAGATATAAGGCTTAGAACTTTGATATTTGGAAGATGGTATCATCTATATGTCCTCAAAACTTGTTCAAAGTTTCCACTAGTCTCAAAATTGGCCCTTACACAAATATAGTCTTTTTTCAGGTGAGCGCTTTTGAGCCAATGGCCCTTTGTTTACAAATAGTTAAGGTGGCGGGTGTGGATTTGAATCACCTTCAAAGGTGACCTTGACATTTTACTGACATTGAATGTAAATGTCAAATATGAAATTTGAGTTATATTTTGTACAAGAAAATGATACGTATTCTTACTCTGATGACAATTTGTTTGGCTATAGAAATATGAAAAAGTAGAACCAGAAGTAGGGCCCCACTAGGCGATGGCTCTTATTGTAATTGTTAAATTCACTTAAACTTGATAATTTCATAAATTTTTATGTATTATTTTACATTTTCAGGTAAAAAGAACTTACAGCAACATAATAAAGACTTGTAATGCATAAAGAAAAAGGAAACCCATGCATTAGAATGTTAGATAATTCTGTGACAAGATTTTTGCTGTCTTTCTTTATTTGTTTTGCTCTCCGTTGTGGACAATACACCAGTTTCATAAACTTTTCAATATAAAGTACATTCTTTAAGTCATGGATAAAACTGGAAAGACTTGTGAAATGAATTCGAGTGATGAGAGTGAAAATAAGAACCCTAAAGAAGTTGAGGAAAGTAAAACTACACCAGAGCAGCAAACTGAAAGACCTCTTAATCATTTAGAAAGTTCAAATTTACCGGAATGCAGTGGTGAAAGTAAGATAAATGAAAAAAAAGAGGAGTTGGATGCAACAGGTGTTTGCCCTCATAGTCAGTCAAAGCAACAGGAAGAGACTGGTCATGTATCTAGGAACTTGGAACATTCTGAAGGTATTCCATCATTTCAATGCTGTCAGCCTGTATGTTCCATATTGAAGGGTGAGAATGACAGCCAGACAGAGCAAATGAATGACAATGTGGAAGAACCCGAAATGGATGTTCAGAAAGGTGAAGATTCAGATGAAGTTTTTGATCTTACTGATAATGAGCCTGAAAATGAGTCAGATCTGGGAGCTTTTTATGAACAAGATCAGAGTGTTTTAAGTATAAATGAGGTAGATGCAGATGACAGCAAAGGGAATATTGAAAATCTGAAAAACACTGAAATAAGAAGTGATGAAGTTTTAGTTAGACAGCCGAAGGTAAACATATATGATATAATTTTTGATATTTGTATAAGATTTCATATGTTTTTATTTTTCAAAAAGAACACTAAATGTTTAGAGAAAAGTGACACATTTGCATCTATTTATAAATGCTCCCAACCAACACAAACGATATATGATCTTTGGGCAGTAAGAATAAGTGTTTCATTCATACCAGCAGGAGCAAGGGAAGAAGCTTACAGATTTGGTACATTCTGCTTGAGAGTTGATCTAGAAAGAGGTATCAGTATTTTATTGGCCAGAGAAGGGTTTTTCTGTAACAATAATTCAGATATAATTTGTGCTTTCTGTGGACGCTCATTACAGCAGTATCATCTACGTCTTGGAGACAGACATTTGAATGTCTTCCTGGAAAGGCATAGACATATCTGTAATTTAGCTCATAACATTTCAATGGCTATCTATGGAATTAACCTTGCACATCATGTGCAAGTTATGCAAGGAAACCATGATAGTTTATGTGTCTCAGGAAGCCATTACCAACAGCAGGGAGTATGTTCATTTGCTCAACAGATGCGTGGACTTTTTCCAAATACATGTATTGTTCCTTCCGGAACAACTTACAATGAAGCTCAACGATTCCTTCCATGGCCAAACCTAGTTGAGCATCACAGAATGGATGGAAACAACAGCATACCAAGAAATGTAAATGATATGCAAATGGAAAATCAAGAGTCTAATCCACATCAGGACCCTCCAAGAGAAAATCAATCAACAACAGAACACTTGGCAAAGGTAAATATAGCAAGTCACTAGTGTAATTCAGTGTCTATTCTAGGAATTCAAAAATAGGGGTGATTTTCCCCCCTCTATTTCAAAAAAGGGGGCGATTTTCAAAATCAAGGGGTGCCAATATAAACTGCCAATGTTAAATCGTCTGCATTAAGTTTACACTGAGGCGTTCAACCGATGAAATATTTAAAACGAAAATATTCATTTAAGGCAGCAGAAGTTGTCCTCCCTTAATTTATGAACGAAAACAAATTATTATAGAACTGTCGCGATTGATTATCAAGGGATTGACAATACAAACAATCGACCTATCTTTTACGTCTAGATCGTAGCCAAGCTAGGATTTCTTGATTATTTACTACACTAAAATGGCGCCCAACTGTCAGACCTAGCACACTAGTTCCGGTAGGTGCGAAACATTCCGTTAATTTCCGTCAACTCACGTAACCAGTACCATACGGTACTAAATTATTATAATTAGCTTACAGTTACCTCCCTTCAGTTTCCAGTGTAAATGTAAACAAAACAACCAAATAAAATGCGAGATGGAATTATGCTTGCTAGGGATCACTTTATTTCCAGAATTTTTTACGATTTTATTAACTTTTTTTAGATGCGCGATTTTCACTCACATGATTTTGAATTGTGCGCAATCTTTGAAATATTAGCGTGAATCGCGCAATCGCGCGTCCTAGAATAGACACTGGTAATTACTGTCTTGGCAACATAATAAAAGCATTAACTATTTAATATTACCACCTAATTTTGATAGCCTGTCAAGCTGTCTTTAAAATTCACTGCCTGATTTTTTAGTGCCTATGATACATATTGTATATTGTGTAATTGATGCATAATTAGCTAACAGAAAGTTGTTAAATTAGTACCATTTTTCTGTCGTGGTAGACCTGTATTGTGTATGAATTTGATATGTTTACAGAATAGGATCCTGATTGATTATAAGTTAAAATTGTTACTGAGCTTTTAATATATAATTTTTTTTTCAGACAACAAAATCTGGTGCTCCAGCCACTACTGTTCAAAGATCAGCAACATTACAGGCAGATTGTTGTAAATATTCTACTTATGCTCTATAAATTTCTTTACTTACAAAAATGTTAAAAGTTGGCTATTCTTTTGATATTTGCCATGGGCCAGAATTTTATAAGCTACTTTATAGTGTGTTAACAAATTTAAGTGAAGATATTCGCTTGAAGCTTAATGTACAGCGATTTAAGATCATAGAGGTAAAGGTCAAAGAACACTAGCATAGTCATTGACTGAATTATAGCCCTTTTTTAGCTCACCTGAGCATATGCTCAGGGTGAGCTATTAGGATCACTCTTCGTCCGTCGCCTGTCGTCCGTCGTATGTCGTACGTCGTCCATTGTCCGTTCACACTTTTCAAACGACATCTCCTCTGAAACCATAAGGCAGATCATAATGAAACTTTACAGGGATGTTCCTTGTGTGAAGCCTTAACAAAGTTGTTCAAAGAATTCCATTCCATGCAGAACTCTAAAGAAAAAACTTTAAACATCTTCTTCTAAAAAACCCAAAGAGCTAGAGCTTAGATATTTGGCATGAAACATCTTCTAGTGAGTGTCTACCAAATAAATGCCCTGGGGTCAAAATTGGCCCCGCCCCAGGGGGTCATTGATTTTCCCTATATGCATATAGTAAAAACTTAAAAAATCTTCTTCTAAAAACCCAAAGAGCAAGAGCTTAGATATTTGGCATGAAACATGTTCTAATGGATGTCTACCAAGTTTGTTCAAATAAAAGTCCTAGGGTCAAAATTGGCCCCGCCCCAGGGGGTCATTGATTTTCCCTATATGCATATAGTAAAAACTTAAAAAAAATTCTCTTAAAGAACCCAAAGAGCTAGAGCTAAGATATTTAGCATGAAACATCTTCTAATCAGTGTCTACCAAGTTTGTTCAAATAAAAGCCCTGGGGTCAAAATTGGATCCGCCACAGGGGGTCTTTGATTTTCCCTATATGCATATAGTAAAAACTTAAAAAAATCTTCTTTTAAAGAACCCAAAGAGCTAGACCTAAGATATTAAGCATGAAACATCTTCTAATGAGTGTCTACCAAGTAAAAGCCCTGGGGTCAAAATTGGCCCCGCCCCAGGGGGTCATTGATTTTCCCTATATGCATATAGTAAAAACTTAAAAAATCTTCTTTTAAAAAACCAAAAGAGCTAGAGCTTAGATATTTGGCATAAAACATGTTCTAATGGATGTCTACCAAGTTTGTTCAAATAAAAGCCCTTGGGTCAAAATTGGCCCTGCCCCAGGGGGTCATTGATTTTCCCTAAATGCGTATATTAAAAACTTAAAAAATTTTCTCTTAAAGAACCCAAAGAGCTAGAGCTAAGATATTAAGCATGAAACATCTAATCAGTGTCTACCAAGTTTGTTCAAATAAAAGCCCTGGGGTCGAAATTGGCCCCGCCCCAGGGGGTCATTGATTTTCCCGATATGCATATAGTAAAAACTTAAAAATCTTCTGTTAAAGAACCCAAAGAGCTAGAGCTAAGATATTTAGCATGACACATCTTCTAATGGGTGTCTACCAAATTTGTTCAAATAAAAGCCCTGGGGTCAAAATTGGCACCGCTCCAGGGGTAATTGATTTTCAGTAAAAACTTAAAAATTTTCTTTTAAAGAACCCAAAGAGCTAGAGCTAAGATATTTAGCATGAAACATGTTCTAATGGATGTTTACCAAGTTTGTTCAAATAAAAGCCCTTGGGTCAAAATTGGCCCCGCCCTAGGGGGTCATTGATTTTCCCTATATTGCATATAGTAATTAAAAACTTAAAAATCTTCTTTTAAAGAACCCAAAGAGCTAGAGCTAAGATATTTAGCATGAAACATGTTCTAATGGGTGTCTACCAAGTTTGTTCAAATAAAAGCCCTTGGGTTAAATTGGCCCTGCCAGGGGGAGGGGGGCCAAAGTCATTGTTTTTCATTATTTGTGTATAGTAAAAACTTAACATCATGAAACATCTTCTAATGGGTGTCTTCCAAGTTTGTTCAAATAAAAGCCCTTTGGTTTAAACTAGCCCCGCCCTGGGGGCCTATGTACAGGTGAGCGACCCAAGGGCCATCATGGCCCTCTTGTAATTCAGAAAATTCTTGGATCAAGTCTTGCTGAAGGTATTGAAACTTAATACAAGTCTTTGGGGTCACTATCCAAAGCCTATAATTCTGACAGGAATTTTGACTTAATAATGGCCATTTTTGAATTAAGAAAATTTCTGGTTCATTTTTTTACCGGCAACATCAATCTTATTCACATAAAATTTACTATCTTTAGGATTCTAAGTGGAGGTCATTATTCAAAGATGATTCTGATTTGTCTGGTTTATAGCCCTTTGTGAATTACGAATCTTTTGTATCATACATGTATACTTATCTATGAATAAACATACTTATCTTCTCTTTAGTTTAACCTAATATAACCTAAAATTTTGTTTTTATCATGTACAAATGTAGTTTTTGGCTGCTAGTACTAAAATAAATAATTTACAACGATTAGACAGTTGTATTGCAAATCAGGCCTATTCTAATTCTTATTTGATAAAAAGTCAACGGAGTTATAAACGGCTATTAAAATAATTTTACTTTCTTTATACTTTAGTTATGACAGGAGCTACTGGTACTTCAGCTGATCTATCAAGAAGGTCTCATAATGAAAGGAATAGAGTTAGAAGAGAAAGCCGAAGATGCGTTAGATATGTTGACTTAGAACATGCTGATATGAATAGACGAATCGCATCTTTTAATGATCATAATGAATTCAGACAAAGACCGAGAGACATGGCCCTGGCTGGATTATATCACTCTGGTATGGACCTTGAATTTAGAATCTAATTGTATTTTTATGCCACCACATACTTTTCTCCTGTTCATTTTGGGATCTTGTTAAAGCTAGGTTTGATGCTTGTATTTATGGAGTAATTTGGTCAATACAATATTAAGTGATTGAGGCATAAATGATTTGAACACAGTGTATGTATTTCTTTTATTGAAGTATTCTGTTCTCATACTTAGTAACTTGCAGTGCTGGACAATGAATTGAAAACTCTAAATATAATAAATAAAACAAATATATTTTCTTGTTTAGCTGATAATTGTTCTCTTTTTTTTTCTAATAACTAATAGTACAATACTGCATGCTCATTTGCTATGTTCAGGTTAATAGCTAATAGCATAATACTACATGCTCATTTATTATGTTCAGTTAAATAGCAAATAGTACAATACTACATGCTCATTTGCTATGTTCAGGTTAATAGCTAATAGTACAATACTACATGCTCATTTGCTATGTTCAGGTTAATAGCTAATAGCATAATACTACATGCTCATTTGTTATGTTCAGGTTAATAGCTAATAGCACAATACTACATGCTCATTTGTTATGTTCAGGCGTTAATGGAAGCTAATAGCACAATAGCTACATGCTCATTTGTTATGTTCAGGTTAATAGCTAATAGTACAATACTATATGCTCATTTGTTATGTTCAGGTTAATAGCTAATAGTACAATACTACATGCTCATTTGTTATGTTCAGGTTAATAGCTAATAGTACAATATTACATGCTCATTTGTTATGTTCAGGTTAATAGCTAATAGTACAATACTACATGCTCATTTGTTATGTTCAGGTTAATAGCTAATAGTACAATACTACATGCTCATTTGTTATGTTCAGGTTAATAGCTAATAGTACAATACTATATGCTCATTTGTTATGTTCAGGTTAATAGCTAATAGTACAATACTACATGCTCATTTATTATGTTCAGGTTAATAGCTAATAGTACAATACTACATGCTCATTTGTTATGTTCAGGTTAAAAGCTAATAGTACAATACTACATGCTCATTAGTTATGTCCAGGTTAATAGCTAATAGTACAATACTACATGCTCATTTGTAATGTTCAAGTTAATAGCTAATTGCACACACTCATTTGTAATGTTCAAGTTTATAGCTAATTGCCCTTGTTGAATATTCGAACTTTCTAAAAATTTTGACCAGTGTAACATTTACTGCCACATGACAACTTGCATCTAGATTAGTAATAAGTCAATTTTAGAGATGATTAGTATAAAATATGTTATGTATTATACAACATGATATGGAGTTTTATTAATTTCTTCTTTTTCTTAAAGGTACACATGGGAATGTGAGATGTTTTAGCTGTGGTGTTGTACTTGGGGAGTGGAAAGATGGTAATATAAATTGTTTTCATTGATGTCTAATTTAAAGCTCACCTGAAAAAAACAAACAGTTTTGTGCTAATTGGATGAAACTGTTTGTGAGCATTGGACACAATTGCAGCTTCTCAGTCCTTTCCGTCAAATTTCGGATAAGGACCTCTCACTCAATAGTAAGAATACATAGGATGGTACTTACTCTAAGAAACTAAACATGTAAACATATAGTTATTTAATGCTAGGAGTTGATGACTAAGTTTATTGCAATATATCGGGGTAAAAGTCTGCCTAAATTTAGTAAATGTATTGATGTAAAAGTTACAAATTTTATATACTTAACGTTATTATATTTGTAGAAACTGAAAGTATAAAATGTCTACCCATTGACAATAATTCAGATTTGTTATAATTGTACATGAGCTGGCATTCTTAAATTGATTATGATTAATAATTATTATATGCATAATTATAATTGCTCGAACCAAAGTTTCATAATTATGTAGGGAATAAATTATTTGTTTACTTATCTAAAGGCTTGCAGTTTCCTACATTTTAATGTAAGGAATTTACAAACATGAAGACAGTAAGTCTATAAACAGATTGTATCAAAGAAAGGGCCTACAGTTTTATGCTTTAAACCCATTTTTTTGACATAAGGTGGCGGGCGGGGGTGAGGGGTTTAAAAGTCTAAATAGAAAATCCAGGATTACGGGCCAGGGTTTTTTTACACCCTTTATGGGGAAAGCATTGTTTTTTTGAGCAATAAATTTAACACACATTTCAGTTAGTTAAATTTTCCGGGAATTTAAATTTAGAGTTTGTCTAAATCTTATAGCCTTCAACAACAACAAAATAAAACGAACAATTCAACTAATTTCGTGAATTATTTTATTGAAATCATTCCTTTGTAGATGATGTTCCTCTCTTAGAGCATATTAGAGAGCAACCAGAATGTGATTTTATTCAGGAGCATGTTTTAGAGTTCATTAGAGATCATCCTCATTCTGTAAGTTATAATATCTGTGTACTACTTCTTAAACAAAATTGTATTGACAAAATCTTAAATTTGACTTCTATGTCAGAAAAACAAAGAATCTAACTCTGAAACTACTGCAAGTTTTTAGCTAGACCTTTTTTAGTCCCCTACCGGTTTAACCGGAGGGGACGTTATGTTTACCCTCCGTCCGTCCGTCTGTTAGTCCGTCCGTCCACAAAACTGGATCCCGCGATAACTTGAAAAGTACTGAAAATATTTTAATGAAACTTGATATATGGATAGATGGCAGTATGGAGATTATGCACGTCTTTTTTTTAACCAGGTTTTCCGAAGGAAAAAACTGGTTATTAGATTGAGGTATGTCGGCGGGCGGGCGGGCGGATGGGCGGGCGGGCGTAAACAATTTCTTTCTGTGCGCAAGCTCCTCCTACATTTCTCAACGGATTTGACCAAAGCTTTCACAGAAAAGCTTACTGTGCTCATCAAGTCTCGCCCTGGGCATATTGTCGGGGTTTTTAGCGATTGAGGATAATATTCTGACCTAATTATGGCCCTTTGTTTTTTTTCGTACTTATATAGAATATATAGTGAACAATTTCTTCTGTGCGCAACTCCTCCTACATTTCTCAACGGATTTTGACCAAACTTTCACAGAAGCTTTGTCATCAAGTGCCCTGGCACATATTGTCGGGGTTTTGCGATAGTAATATTTGACCCTAATTATGGCCCTTTGTTTTTTTCCTTATATAGAATATATAGTGAACAATTTCTTCTGTGCACAACTCCTCCTACATTTCTCAACGGATTTTGACCCAACTTTCTCAGAAAGCTTTGTCATCAGTGCCCTGACACATATTGTCAGGGTTTTTGCAATTGGTAATATTGGACCTAATTATGGGCCCTTGTTTTTTTCATTATAAAGAGAATATTATAGTGAACAATTTCTTCTGTGCGCAACTCCTCCTACATTTCCTCAACCGAGATTTTGACCAAACTTTCCTTAGAAGCCTTTGTTATCAAAGTGCCTGGCACATATTGTGGGGGTTTTGTGATTGGATAATATTTTACCGAATTATGGCCCTTTGTGTATTTTTTTCCTTATACAAGAATATAATAGTGAACAATTTTTCTACAGTGGCGCAACTTCTCCTACATTTCTCAAAAGGATTTTGACCAAACTTTCACAGAAGCTTGTTCATCAAGTGGCCATAGCAAACATATTCGGGGTTTTGTGATTAGATAATTTTTTACCTAATTATGGCCCTTTTTTTTTTTCCTAAATACAGAATATATATAGTGAACATTCTTCTCTGCGCAATTCTGTGCGCAACTCCTAATTCTCTAGGGATTTTTTTGACAAAACTCTCGCAGAAGCTTTGTCATCAATCTTTGCTGCATGTTGTCAGGGTTAATGAGATTTGATAATGTTTGACCTAATTTATTGCCATTTATTTTTTTTCCCTTTATACAGAAATATATTGTTTTTGTTCCATATATAGAATATAAAGTGAACAAATTCTTATTTGCACACCTCTTCCTACAAAACTATTTTGACAAACTTTCACAGAAAGCTTTCTCAATCAAGAGTCCTTGTGCATATCATCGGGTTTTGTGATTTTGGGGGGGGCGGGCGGGGATTTTGTGATTTTGGGTGGGCGGGCGGGGTGTTCACTTTAAAACAAATGCCCTGCATGACGAAGCTTCTGTGAAATATTTTGCTGAAAAAACCTGGTTGCATCGCATTGCGATGTTCCTTGTTTCTTCCTATGTTGAAAATTCTGGTTGCTATGGCAACAAATAGTCTGAAAATATGGCAAATTTAACACATAAACTGGATCCAGTGATAATAGCCTGAATTTCAAAATTTCTGAATTAAATTTTTCAGCTTTGTCACTATAAGTTCTTTATTTAGGTGTTTACTTCAAACTTTAAATATAAGTTTCTGGTCTTCAACCACATCATATGTGACAAGGTTTACAACTCTAGCACAAAAATTATCAGTATTACCCCCCTTGAATTTAGAATTTTTATGAAAAAAAAATATCTTTCAGGGTGTCCGTTTGACCCTTGAAATGACTCTTTGACCCTTCAAATTTCCAAAAGGCCTGATTTGACACTCAAAATTTTAACTGGAGGGTCAAATTTTGTTAAGTTCATGGGGATTTGGCCTTGTAGTCGGTTAAACTTAGTCAAATGACCCTCATGATTTCATGGCTAGTGAACACCCTGTCTTTTTTAAATAACTTCTTTATTTCCTAATGTATCTACTTCAAACTTCATATATATGTTTTTTATTATCACTCAACATTTTTGAGTGGGTTAAATACTCTAGCAAGACTATTTCCAGAATTATGTCCCCCTTGAACTTAGATTTTTTTTCGAGAAATTGGTATTTTTCACTCGCCAACGTCTTCATTTCCTTATAGGATTTACTTTAAAATCCCACATCGTAATAGTATGACAAGTTGTATAAACATAATTTCCTTACAAGGGCAGGGAAACTTCACACATTACTGTGATATAGACAAACTTAGAACTCAAAAGATTTAAGTTCATTCATGTTATTCATTCACTGGTTAAATTGAATGGCCAATGGCCCATCAGAATGTTGCTGGGGTTCTAACCGGTAGGGGACTTATGGATTGCTTGCAATACTATGATAATTGCTTGTTTTGCATGTTTTCACTAGAGCTGAATTTAAAATTGCATGTATAATTTTAGATACTAAGTTTCTTTTCTCAAGTGTGAATGCTTCTATTTGTAAATATTGTTCCTATTTTATACTGTTCAAATTTAGCTACTAAATGGGTACAAATGTTAAAATCATAATGTTGGAAAATGCCTTGATTATTGAAAAACACCTTATTGAACAAAAATCCCTTGAAATTTATTTTTATTTCTCATTTCTTTCAAGTCCTCGCGATTTGACAATTGTGAATTGACATTAAAAACTATATTGTTAAAATAGATCCTTTCTGTGTGAAAACAGACACTAATTCCACTCATATTCTGATGTGCAATAAGCTTCAATCGAACAACTTGTATCATGCCAGTATTCATATATTTGTTTCTATCAAGTTTGTTAGCTTTACTTTCCTAAAAAAAGGGCGGAGCTATTGTTAACCCTTGCATTAGTGTCAGCGTTGGTTGGCCTTTTTGTTGAAGTCTGTTTTTCTCAGAAACTATAGAAACTATTTATAAACTTGGTATACAAATATGAAAATTAAAATACCATTCAAAGGGGCAGATAATTCTTAAATTCATTTTACTATGTTAATTGCTTTATACTTTGAGCGTTTGTTCAATTTTTAGCTCACCTGTCACAAAGTGACAGGGTGAGCTTTTGTGATCGCTTTTCGTCCGGCGTCCGTCCGGCGTCCGTCCGTAAACTTTTACTTTAAATGACATCTCCTCATAAACCACTAAGCCAATTTCATCCAAACTTCACAGGAATGTTCCTTTGGTGGTCACCTTTAAAAATTGTTCAAAGAATTTAATTCCATGCAGAACTCTGGTTGCTCAGGCAACCGAAAAAAAAAACTTTAAATATCTTCTTTTAAAAAACCATAAGAGCTAGAGCTTTTTAATATTTGGCATGAAGCATCTTCTAGTGAGTGTCTACCCAAGAGTTTGTTCAAATAAAAGCCCTGGGGTCAAAATTGGCCCCCCGCCTCGGGGGGCATTGATTTTCCCCTATATGCAATATAGTAAAAAATTTGAAAAATCTTCTTTAAGACCCAAAGAGCTAGAGCTAAGATATTTTAGGCATAAAACATGTCTAAAAGGTGTCTACCAAGTTTGTTCAAATAAAAGCCCTGGGTCAAATTGCCCCGCCCCCAGGGGTCATTGATTTTTCCTATGGTGCATATAGTAAAAACTTAAAAAATCTTCTTTTTAAACGAACCAAAAGAGTTAGAGCTAAGATATTAAGCATGAAACATGTTCTAATAAGTGTCTACCAAGTTTTGGTTCAAATAAAAGCCCTTGGGTCAAAATTGGCCCCCCCCGGGGTCATTGATTTTCCCTATATGCATATAGTAAATACTAAAAAAATCTTTTTTAAAGAACTCAAAGAGCTATGGCTAAGATATTGAGATCAAACATGTTCTAAATAGGTGTCTACCAAGTTTGTTCAAATAAAAGCCCTGGGGTCAAATTGGCCCCGCCCCAGGAGGGTTCATTGATTTCCCCTATGCTGCATATATTAAAAACTTAAAAAATTCTTCTTTTAAAGAACCAAAAGAGTTAGAGCTAAGATAATTTAGCATGAAACATGTTCTAATAAGTGTCTACCAATTTGTTCAAATAAAAGCCCCTGGGGTCAAAATTGGCCCCGCCCCGGGGGGTCATTGATTTTCCCTATATGCAATATAGTAAAAAACTTAAAAATCTTCTTTTAAAGAACTCAAAGAGAGCTATGGCATAGATATTTGAGCATCAAACATGTTCTAATAGGTGTCTACCAAGTTGTTCAAATAAAAGCCCTGGGTCAAAATTGGCACCGTCCTGGGGGTCATTGATTTTCCCTTAATATGTGGTATAGCAAAACTTAAAAAATCTTCTTTGAAAAAACCCAAAATAGCTAGAGTTAAGATATTAAGCATGAAACATCTTTTAGTGAGTGTCTACAAAGTTTGTTCAAATAAAAGACCAGGGGTCAAAATTGCCCCGCCCCGGGGGTCCATTGATTTTCTTTATATGTGTATAGCAAAAATTAAAATCTTCTTTGGAAAAACCCAAATAGCTAGAAGTTTAGATATTAAGCATGAAACATCTTCTAGTAAGTGTCTACAAAGTTTGTTCAAATAAAAAGCCCTGGGTCAAAACTGGCCCGGCCCTCAGGGTGTCCATTGTTTTTAAAACTTATATGTGTATAGTAAAAACTAAAAAAAAAAAACTTTTTTTAAAAAGCCCAATGAGCTAGAGCTTAGATATTTAGCATGAAACATCTTCTTATGGGTGTCTACCAAGTTTGTGCAAATAAAAGCCCATGGGGTAAATTGGCCCTGCAACGTTTTGGGGGTTGGGGGGGCCTATATACAGGTGAGCGACCTCAGGGCCATCATGGCCCTCTTGTTTAAATTGGAATGCAATTCTAAATGGCATATACACATGTATTTTTATAATTTAGATTTTCTTAGTTATGTCTTTTCACAGGCATGTCTTGTTTTTATTTTTGTTTTTAATGTACTTATATTGGAATTAATGTGGTATAAATTAAGTTGTTCTTTACTGTAAATGTAAAATTTGTAAAATACTTCATGTAAATGTATATGGTCAGCAATGGAAATTTTTTTAGCCTACAACTTTAGTAAAGCATGCATAATTTTCAATTTGAACAATTGAGCAACCAATAAGATTTCTTTTTTGACTATTTTGATATTACCACAATCGTATTTTTACACAACAACATCTAAGTGAAGGTCTGTATTTATTAATTGTATTATTTTAGATGTTGTTTTTATATTACAGGTTGATGGTATTGTACAAGCTTTTGTAGGCTCTAGTATCGGGACAACGGTTATTGGTCGTGGATTTACAAGAGGAGATGTTGTAGATGGTATACGGAGACTACTTAGAAATGGAGGTAAATCATTTTTATTGTGTGTCAACATTAAAAAGTGCCTTTGTTACATACCAATATTTAACAGGGAGTCATTGGTTTTCCTATTATGTTATATACTGAAACATAATCTGAAAAAACTCTACCAAGAATGTTCAAATCAGGCCGATCATGGGGGGGGGGGGGCCCCGTCAAAAAAAAACAAAAAAAAATTGGGGGGATAAAAAAAAAAAAAAAAACATTAATCTTTTGGGCCAGAGTTGCTGAAATTACGGCCTTTGAAGTCAAAATTACATGGTCTTCCTTATTAAATTTGTATACTTATGTTGAAATGTTTGTATAAAGTTGAAATCACATGTGTAGGTATTTTACCGAAAAAAATGCGAGTTATGTAAAATCAAGCTCTTGAAGGTTAAAAAATTGGTCCCATTTTTTTCGGGAACAAAATTTACATAAACTTACAGCAAAAAAAACAACAACAAAAACAAATACAGCAAGAACAATTTTTAACCCCTTCCCTTTGTTCAATTTCCTGCAATGGCTTCAGCTGCCGTCATCTTACATCTCTGGCATGTTTTGCAATGCTAATAAAGAAATCTTTACACTGGCTGCTTGTTGGCCCGCCAGCAGAAGCTGGAATATCTAGCTTGAGGGTAAGCGTAACGAGGTTTCCCAAAATTTTCCGAAAAATTTTTTACCTGATAGCTAGATTTTCCCGGTCTGAAAAAAAAACAGCCAGTTTTTGTTTTTTTGGCCTTTTTGGCAGGGGCGGGGGGGGAAAAATATTTTCCAAACAGTTTCTCAAAATACTTATAAACACCCTCTTGATTTTTTGGGGTTTATAAGCAATAAACTGGTCCCTACCGGGGGAATTCAAGTTCAGGCCCGGTCGTCATCATTCCTTTTTATTGCCCTTATTTTAAATTTTTTGGGCTTTTAAAGGTGATGGAAAGGAAATTTGGGGATTTTTTGGGTTTACAGATTAAGAAGGGAAACAAAAGGTGGTTTCAATTTCGGGTCTTTTAAACCACCCACTTTATGTTTTAAAAATGATGACTAATTAACCTACTATTTTAATTCAAAGTATGTTCCATTTTAAATTTTTCAGTGTTTGAAATTAAATTTTTGCATCCATTGAATGGGAACATTTTGTTTCCCTTCTTGTTAAAGTAATAGCCTTTTTAATATACTTGCTTTGGCAGACACTTTTTGTAAATATTGAGGCATACAAAATGAAAAAACAGATGTAAGTTTTTTATATTTACAGAAAGATTAACCCGTCAACAATGTCATGTGTCCCATTTAAGGAGGATGTTAAACATGGTGTCCCTATGTTGAGGCCAATCTTTAAGACCTGGTGCTTACATAGATGTTTAAAAAATAGTGTAATAACCGTAATGGTTTTAACTGCCCTTGTTCGAGTAGGGCATGGATTTTTTACCTTTGTTATTTTACGGATAAAAATGTAAAAATAAAAAAGGAATTTTTAGTGACCATTTTGTTGATATTTGGGAACTATCTCTTTAATATAATCTCCATGCCAGCCGAAAAGAACAAAACAAAAAAAAAAAATAGTGGAAAAAGAAACGCAAGTTATTTTGCCTTTTTCCGGATTACATGTAATACACCATGTGTAAGTAACAGCTGAAATAAGAAGTCACGTTTGAAAGTAAACCCAAACCGTTTTTTTTGAACGGGTACTTAGCTCCAGCAAGATATCAACTTAGGTAAAAAGGGGGGGTCAAAGGATAAGTTCTGTTCCCCGAGTAATTTTTAACATTTGAAAGTTTCGCACACAGTTAAATATCAGCCCTGCAATGATTGATTTTAATGGTCAACAATACGAGCAGAACATCGGGCCAAGGGCCCTTTATGCAGGCTATGAGACGCCTTATTCCATCGCCCGCCAGACACAATTTTTAACAGCCGGTTTCCAATAAAAAATATACCCATTCCCCCCGGCAACCTCCATTAATGGAACGGAAACGTCAAAACATGGAATAATCTGCTTAAAATATCTGTGGCTAAAATTTTGGAATAAATGTCGAAAAAACAGTAAACTCTATTAATTATAAAGCTCACTGAAATTGGGAAATTAAAAGTTTGAAAAATATTTGAATGAAAGGGTGACGGACGTTTTGAAAAATCAACAAAGTTTGTAAGCAATAATTTGATTGAAAAAAGCCCAATAGACCATAAAAAATGCCAACAAGAATTAGAGTCGGCAGTTTAAAAAAATTTGTGAGAAAATGGAAAGTGATATTAAAAAGAATTGATGAAAAACAAAAAATGAAATTTATAAAATTTTGTTGATCTGGAAAATAGGTATGCCAAGAAATTCTCATTTTCTCTATGTATCCCCCAAAAGGACATTTCGAAAAAATCTGAAAGCAAAAAAATCGCATGATTTGGATACTGGACATTGCCCAAACAGAAGTGGAAATTGAAGCTGGTAGGTGAAAGCGTTTATAGAGGAAAAAATTTACAAATTGATTTGCAAATTAATAATCCTTTTTGACAGAAGCTCACCTGAAATTTGGAAATCCATTACAAATAAAAAAAAACCTTGCCCACATAATTGTCCAAATTTCATAGTTTATGTTGAAACGTAAACGTGTTTTGTACAGCAGCAATTAATTTAAAAATGAGCTTAAAAACAAAAAATTCTCGGGGTTGGGAGTTCAAGATTCCTGGAATGGCGTGAATGCCGCGTAAACCATTATATTTCGGACAGAAATGTGAAGGTTTTTGGATTAGCAAAATTAATCGATTTAGAAAACAAATTTCAAATATTTTTTACAGAGACATATGTAAGATAAAATCCCTTAGATTGTTACAAGGCCCAAACGGACTTAAATTGAAATTTTTATGCAAAACAACTCGCTTAGTGGGTTTTCCCGGAAACACAGGTTAAAAAATCCTACCGGCAAATTATTTGCAGGGAAAAAAGAAATGGGTTTTAATAAATAATGTTATAACGCGCGTAAAGCTGCCCTAAGAGCTAATGCAAATGGAAATTTTTTTTAAGAAAATAAGTCCCTGTTTTTGAAAATAAAAATGAGTTTTTTGAAAAAAAAAACGAAAGTCATATAAAAATAAAAGAACAAATGTAAACCCAAATATTTCAAAGCGCCGCATAAGGAAAACATAATCCTTTAAATTTATCAAAATCGAACCCAAAAGCAATTTTGAAAAAAAATATAAAATCGCAGTAAAAAAGATTCAAAAAGGAACAAAAAAATTATCAATTGAATCATTATTTACTCATTTTCAATAATCTTTTCGGCAAAAAACGAAGCCGGCCACTGACAAACAAACCCTCGCATTTTTAATTAGTTTTGTATATGATTAAAGAATTAGATTGCCTTTTTTTTTCTGAATTAGAAGTTTTTAAAAAAATGCATTTTTTGCTCAAAATAAATTCAAAAAGTCCGGGGGCAAAAACCGGATAGCCAAAATTTTTTTAAAAAACATCATTTGACAAAATTTCCCCATTTTTTTGTTAAGTTTTTTAAAATAAAATTTTAACAGGGAATTTTCCAAAGAAATTTGGGGACCCCAAGGCAAAAAAATCTTTTTCCCTTTAATTCCCAAGGGGGCAACCCCGGAACCCAAAAATTTTTAAAAGGAAATTTTTTTAAACCCCTTTTTAAACTTTATATAACCCCTTTTAACCCCTTTTTTTCCCCCCCCCCCCCCCTCTAATTTTTTTTGTCAAAAGGGGAAAAAAATGCTTATTTTAAGGCCCGCAAACTTTTTTTTTGTTGTTGTTTAAAAAAATGACCTTTTTTTCGGCGCGGCCCCAAACCAAAAAGTTACTCAGGGGGTTGCCAGAACGGGGAAAACCATCCCCCTTCCGTTTTCGGGGTTTTTTGAAGGGGGGCGGAGTCCCCTCATCGCCAAGAAAATTTTGGAAACCTTTGGAGAGGCTAACTTAAATAACCCGGATTGGGATCATTTGGTAACCCGTGTAACCCAACGCTGAAAAAGCATTTGACCTTATCTCAACCTTTTGAAAGTTGCCCAGCACTTTGAAATCATTTTTGGATGGAAAAAATCAAACAAAATAGTGAATTTTTTGGCAATTTTTGAGAATGTCCCCTCGTTGCCATGGTAACAGAAAAATTTAAGCCTGACATGTTTTGTTTGCAAGGGCAATGGCCGTCAATATTTTGCCAAGTTTGAAATTAGTGTTGAAGCATTTTTTTATATTTTATAACAATTTTGAACTTGTAACGGGAGACCTTTTTCAATGAAAAATCCATTTTTTCACAAAATGCCTCAATGAAGAAGGGTTAAATTAACATTATTTTCAAAAATATATCAAAACTAATTATAAACTCGACGCTTAAAATTTGGGGGCGATTTAGAAAAGAAAAGTTAATTGAGGCAAAAATTTTGGTTTATAAAAAGAATAAATTTCAACGATTGACTGGTATTTATATTTTACAAAGGCGCTGCTTTATTTCAAAAAATTCTTGCGAAAAGAAAAAAAATTTATATGCCAGCCCTTTCTGATTGGGAAGAAAAATGAATTTGACAGAAGATTGAATAGACCTTTATTGTGGCAAAAACTAATGAAAGCAAATGTTAGTAAACAAAATTTGTATTTGGCTATAAAGTCAATGTAAATCTCAACGGTTAAATCGTTTTGGTAAAGGGTATAATTCGACTAACTCTAACTTTATTCAAACATTGGAGTGAAGCAAGGTGACCCCGCCAGCAGCATTTTGTGTCTTTATTTTTTTAAACGATATTGTTAAAATGTAAAAGCAGATATTAATGGAATAATGAACATTGGCGACATTCAATTATTTTTATTACTTTTTTGGCCGATGACGCAGTTTTATTTGCTCACGATCCAAACTCCCTACAGTCCATGTTGAACGACATTGAAGAATATAGCAATACATGGGGCTTACGTCTTTAATGCCAGCAAAACAAAAACCATGATTTTTGAAAAAGGCTGACATACCAAATTTGATTTTTATCTTTATAACAATCATATAGAACTTAGTAGATTC